GGAAAGAATGGCCGAAGCACCAGAAAGAGAAAACACACCAATTACTCTTCTGGAGAAGGTGTGCTCAGTCAAATCAGGGTGAAGGGTGTCTGATAAAAGCTCTTTCAGATAGTCAAGATGGAAATCATGAACAGGAGGATCATCAGATGGATTTGGACTCTCCTAAAGCAAACACCTCTTTGGCTGATCATTATAGTTGGTTGAAGTAAATCTAAGTAGACTTGCAACTGATGTTTTCTTCACAGGTGATGAGTTAGAGGATGAAGAGCCCTGGGATTTAGAAGATGAAAGGACCTGGGCTGATCAGGAGGCCTTGGATGACAAAGAACCCTTGATAGATGAAGAGCCCTCCTTCAATGTTGGAGAACCCTTGAATGACAGGGAACACTTGGATGAAGAAGAGCCCTTCAATGAGGAAGAGGACTTGGATGAAGAAGAACCCTTTGAAAAAAGGCACATATATAATAGTGAAGGAGAAAGTGAGATAGACTCAGACAATGAAGATGATGGACTAACAGGTAATGCCATCTAGTCATTCATATGAGAAAAAATACTAATGCAATACAGAACATCTCAATCCCATAGATGAATTTCTGGGCACTATCGACTTCAATGCAATTGACAGCTGTGCTGACCAATTTTGGGGATCTCTTTGTTCATTGCGATCACAAGAACGCATGAACCAAACTGAAGTGGCGGCCAACTCCATCAGTATAGAGCAATCCATTCGATCTTTGACCATCTCTCCATGGGCTTCAGATCATCCGCAGATCATTGCAAAAATATGGCCAAAACATGATATACTCTTGAAATCCATCCAACTTTCAACAGTTGAGCTCTATGCCTGTAGGCTAATTTATATGACAGGCATTGCAGCACCTTATACTTGGGTTGAAACCATTGTCTGGGAGGCAATCAATACTGAGCCTTCAGTGAATCAGACTTCTGCCCCAGCAGACTACAAACCTAGCTGGGTGCACCAGCTGGTCAAAGATCTGAAGGGATTGTATCTGAGTGGCCTACACAAATCAGAGATTATACCCTTTCCTTCGACAAAGTATCTTCCACATCTGGAAGAGCCTGTAACTCACCAGCACAAAATTGGACGCGTGTTATATGACACAGATGCACAAAAGGAGCAGCTGGCGACTGCAGCCACAGACATCATTCATTCCTGGCTGCATTTTCCAACTACCCCCAAAGCAATTTCTCAGTGGATGTTCATTGCCACTATCAACAAGGTCATTGATCGGCACTCCATTTTTTTACTGGAGCCTGTTTGGACTGCGTTTCAAAGCCCACTTCTTACATTGGAGGGCAGAAATCAAGGAAGCAATAATCGAACTGAAAAACATCCAATTTGGAGACAGTTTGAAGCTTCTTTGCGACAGCATCCATTGGCAAAACCACAGTCATGGTTGACGGAGAAGTTTGAGGTACTGCATGAGACTGTCATGACATGGATAAAAGAGAGTCAGATTGATCAC